CCTGAGGTATCACTATTAGGAATACTAGGAAAAAATGTAAATAAAGGTGACACATATCAAATCATTCACGTGGTTACGGTGGCAAGGATAATATTTGCTCAAAAGTGGAAAGCAATGGAAGTACCGAGTGGGGAAGCACTAATAAAGAAAATTATGTATTGCGCAGAATTAGACAGGATAACTAAAAGATTAAAAAATCAGGAAGAAACAGAATTTTATCGAATATGGAATAAATTTTATAGATGAAGGGGGAAAAATGGAGGTCACAGCAAAGATATAAGCCAAGATAGAGACTAGAAATGTACAGTTGTATACAGATGTATTGTATGTAATTAATGTACAATACGGACTGATAAGATGGAGATGTCAAAGACGATTTACCATGTTCAATGTTTTTTAATCTTTTTTCCTTTATACCCAATAAAAATTAAAAAAAAGATTATACCTTGCCATAAAACCATTGCTTTGATTGACAACATGTAGAGTCACAAGTTATTTCAAATTTTCACAGAATTTAATAGAGGCTGATATCATAAACTGAATAATGGACCACAAGGATCAGTGTTATCCTCTCCTCTTTTTAACTTGTACATCCATGATCTGCCTGAAACTGTTTCAAGAAATTTAATTATGCCGATGATATCAATCTCACAGCCCAAAAAACCAACTTCAGTGATGCAGAGGACATCCTTTTTCAAGAACTCCAGAAGCTGGATGATTACTTCAAAAAATGATGCCTCTAACCAAGCCTAACAAAAACAGAAGTAGCCTCATTCTACTTCAGTAATAGGTACGCAAATTATCAGCCTTCAGCGAAATTCCAGAACCATATTTTACTATGTAATAACTCTCCTGGGGGTAACACTGGACAGATCACTACTCTTCCGACCATACCTGGAAAAAATAGCTACAAAATTGAAAAGCTACAATTTACTGAACAGACTTGCTAGAACATCCTGGGATGCTGCTGATGCTAACACCCTACAAACAACAGCTTTGGCTTTGGTTTGCCAGAGTTAAATATTGTGCCAGCATGTGACCTAACAGCGCCCACACTCAACTATTGATGTCCAACTCCACCAGACAATGCGTATCATCTCTGGAACATTGCATACGATTTGTGCGTACTGGTTACTAGTACTTAGCAATATCATACTGTCCCACATACGGTGACAAGTTCACATTTGGTTATGGTCAAGGATTCTAAACAAGGTCCTCCCTATTCACCAGGACAATCCACAGCCCATCACAAGATTGAAATCCCATAGGCCAGCATGGAAAACAATGATTCACTTAACATCTGCCCAGTTTAACCCCCAGAATGCCTGGAGAGAAGAATGGTTAAATGTACCTTCTTGTGGTCTGACAATTAGTGATCCCTCTACCAAACCACCTGGTTTTGACTGATCTCACTCTATCTGGACAAAATTGAAAAGAATTAGGTGTGATACTGAAAGAATTGCCTTGGCCCTGTTATCAGTGAGGATGGAAAGATCCCCTTTGTTTTGATTGTGGTGCTGATATGCAAACTACTAAACATATCGGGTAAGATTGCCCACCTTGTGTGTGCTCTGGTTCCCTAGAAGACCTTCACAAAGCAACGCCAGAAGTAATTGCCTGGAAACTGAATTGGACATCCAGTTATGAGGCCACTGTAGACGTTTTGTGTATAATTTACATGGATTGCATGTATAGCTTTACTTCTTTTCTGTCATGTTTGTATCATGTTAAATAATAATGGAAAAAAGCAAACTACATACAGCTTAAGACACTGTATACTTATAGAACAGGGATGTCAAACTTGCAATGTCATGTGACATGTTGCAACGTATCACGTCTTTTTTTCCATTGCCGGCAATGGGGTGGGCACCATTTTGGCATGACACAACCAGCCCATGAGCCAGCAGTTTGACACCTCTGTTATAAAATAAGACTGTTTTAATATGACTCAGTGCTTATGGGCAAAGCTGTTCATAATTCAGTTCTGATTTAAATTGTATCTAAAGCAGTGTTTCTCAACCTTGACAATTTTAAGGCATGTGGACTTCAACTCCCAGAATTCCACAGCCACCCACTAAATCAGTTAGGTTTTGTGTTATTGATCAACGGTTAACATTATCTCTGTGAATTTATGTCTTGCACAATAATCTCAACAAGCATCTTGCACCAATCAATTGTATCTGTGACAAGGAACAACCTTGGACATGGATTTTAATACTAGTAGTAGGCAAAAAATGAACAAAAACTGGCCACCTTCCTTATCCTCTCCTTAGAAATGTCACATTCAGCAATCCGTTGGTTAGGAACAAGTTATAACCAATAGCCTGATGGTAATCTTTGTAAATTGATTTGGTTTAAACTTACTCAGAGCAAGTAACTAAAAAAAATGTAGATGCAAAACTTTTTTTTTCATGGTAAGCTAAACTGGAGAGCAAAACACAATGCTCAACATCAAAGGTGTTTAAAAGATTACACTTATTTCAGAGGCTACTGCTTTAAAATATTATCTTTTTTTCAGTTTGCTTCCACAGTATAATTGGGAAAGAATACAGCACGACATTTAAAAATGGAACACTGTAGTAAAGTTATTTTAGGTAAATCAAACTGGCATTTTTGGGCATACCATTAAAATGTATAAAAAGACTTGTAAATAGGTAGACTTGCATTCTATATATTTTAAGAACGATCATACTAGAAAATTCCAGTTCTTTTCAGATTCAAAGATTATTTACAAAACCGGCCCATATAGCAAGAACATGTCACACATCAGTGCTAGCTTTTGTCCATTAAAGTCCAGTAATTTCTTAGAGCTTATTACACATGGTAATTATGTAGTCCTTTATTACTTTAAAGCAGATGTGAAATTTGGAAATCATATTACAGTAAAGAGCTCATTGGCAGCATTTACAAATACAGCATATGCTGAATTGTGATACATTAGCATAAATACAAAATTTGAAATATGGAAACAACTAGTACAGTGCGCTGGAAAGGCAAACTATTTCAGTATTTCTTTTACATATTTTCTTTTATTCCTCCTTTCTCGCCGCTTCACGGGAGAAACTGGAAAATCCGAAGACGTGTGTTTACTTCACCTCCTGCTGGAGCCAAGAAACATTCACTTCCCATACTGTAGTGGTTCCCCCCCCCCCAAAGTCATTCGTACCGCTCTCCCTCCCTAACACATCCCGCATGTCTATTCCTAGATAAGATAATCCGCATAGAAAGGGTTCTCCAAAGAGGCCTTTGGGCAGTTACTCTTCTGTATCAAAGGCATGAGCTCCAGGCCTTGCATTAAAAATTGACTTCTTGCACGGAAACCGCGTTCAGTTATCTCACTTATCAGCGCTGGGGAGAGGGGGGAGCTTCCTTCCCCTCCCCGCTCAAGCTCCTTGAAAAGGGAAAAGATCCTAACGGATTTATATAAATTAGGCCCCCCAAAAGCGTAGCCCATCTCTCGCGAATGAGGCGAGCCAAGTCGCACCAACCAGAACCGCCCACCCTCCCCGCGACTGCCTCTGCTACGAGGCGGCACCTTCTCCGTTCAAACCGCGCAGGGTATTTAGCGAAGAGCGGCGAAATACCGCCCAGTTAATCCAGATCTGTTAACGGGAACAGGCGCCACTCAGGCAACCGCCCACTTCTTCGTAGCGTCCCGCTAGGCTCGGCTCCGTGCCCGGACGGATTCCAATCGTCACAGGCGGCGCTCAAGGGAAGCCATGATTACTCGATGGTGCCAGAAGAACCACGCCCCAGGCCGTCCCAAGGGGCAGCAGGAGGGGCACACGCGTTGGCAAAGAGTAACCCGCCCACACACACAGGGTGACAATATCAGTTGCACATCCCCACCGAAGGAGCTGCCGCCCGCCCAGCTGTAACTACAATTCGCGCTTGAAGACCCTAAGCTTTCACAGAAATGCAGCCGCTCCACAACTAATTTAAAGGGCGCGTACGAACGTGCTGATCATGAGTGACAAAACCGTTTGACTGACTCACCAACGGTCGAATGATAACCCGAGAATATAATAAAATCCCGCCCTCTCTGCTAATATTGTGCATCCAGTGATAAGGACGGAAACCTAAGAAATAGAATACGATTGAATGTTTCCGGTTTCTGATTGACCTTTTGAAGTACGTACCACATGTCGGAAAAGAGTGATGAAAACGCGTAGGGATAAATATTCTGGTAATAAAGAAACAAATATAACAGAGGTCTTCATTTCATCGCTACGCTTAGCACTAATCATGCCTTCCCTCCAAAATGGCTTTTGATTTCTAAGAAAGACTTCATTTGCTTGTTGGAATAGATCACTTCCCTATGTTTTTTAATTACGAGAGATTAGCTTGGTTATTCGGTGCCCTGCTTCTTCGCAGGTCAAATACTTCAAATGGCAAAATTTTACAAAACACGAAAACATACCTGTTTATAAATGCTAGATTTAAAGATGTAAACACCAAGAAATGGTTTTGGCTAGCGAGAACAACACATCAACTTTTCCTAACAAGATCAAAAGACACGTTTGATAACCATCTTTTCGGAAACGAAACAAACTTTATGGGTAGGAGAACGCATTTAATTTCTGCCTGCAATGTTACCTTGTCAAGGCATCAGAATTCAGCCCATTTTAAATTCGCGTACTGTAGCTTGTAAACTTCTGGAGAAAATTCTAGTAGTTTACAAAAACTTAAGACTGCATGCCAATTTAAAAATTCTTTAAGTGATGCGATCCTTTGAAATTTGCCCTGTTTAATTCCTTTTGCCCGGCCGCATGTGAGGGTCTCCACATATTGCAACTGAAAGGTCTGAAATATAGCCTCAAATACATAATGGCTTTAGCTCCTCGATCGAAGCAGCTCCGATACCAAGCTCGAGCGTAGCGCTAGAAGAGCGCTACGACTGACGTAAGTCAACAAAGGTCACGTGGCCACGCCTAAGTGCGGTGATTGGCTGCGAGGGCACAGGGAAACGGGGTGGGGAGGGGGGGGGTCACGGTGGCGGCGTGGGGTTCGCTGTGTGACACAATTACAACAACTTTGTTCAGCTGCTGGGGAAGTTTGTACAGGCAACAAATACACCCCTCGCGGGCGGGCGCGGGTCCCTGTCACCTCGACTCCACTCACTTTTCGTCGCTGGGGCTGGCGGCTCAGCAGCGATGTAAACACTGCTCCGTCACCGCCAGCAGCAGCAGCCGCAGCCTCCTCCTCCTTCTCCTCCCACTCCCCCCCCCCAGTCTTCAGCGCTGGGGCTCCCTTCCTGCTCCCTCCTCCTCCGATCAGCGGGGCTTCCCCCCGCCTTTCTCTCCCTCCCCCTCCCTGCCGGCTGTTGTTGTTGTAATAAAAGTTGTGGTGGTGCGTGTGTGTCGGGCACCCCGCCCGGCACTGGGGGGGTGTTGGGGCGCGCGGGGAGGGGGGCTTGCGATCGTGAGTTAATTACGTTGCGTTTCCATGAAATCGTGTGGAGTGTCGCTCGCCGCTGCCGCCGCCGCCGCCGCTGCCTCTACTGCTTTCGGTGATGAGGAAAAGAAAATGGCGGCGGGGAAAGCGAGCGGCCAGAGCGAGGAGGACTTCGCCAGCCTGACAGCGGAGGAAAGAGAAGTCCTCTCTGGCTTCGACAGGTACTCAGACGGCAGCCTCCGTGTTCCGGCTCGTCCGGTGATCTCTCTTGCCCGCCCGCTCGAGGTGTACGAGTGAGCGAGCGAGCGAGCGAGTGTGTGTGTGTGCGCGTGAGAGGGAGAAAAAGCGAGTGTGAGTGTGGCGGTGCTCTTGGGCCGGAGCGAGGGCTCTGCCCCTGCCAGCGAGTGTGAGGGAGCGCACGGAGCGATCTGTTTGGGGCGGGGTGGGCTGGGGGACTCCGCGAACGTGTCTGTTTTGCTCAATCTCTCTCTGTCGCTTGATTCCCCCTTGTGCAGCCGACTCTTCGGATTTTTAAGGCTTCATGAAGATGGCGCCAGAACGAAGGCCTTGCTGTTAAAGGTAAGGGGACTGGGGTGGGGGAGGAGGCAACCGACCAGGGAGCCACCCTCCCGGGTTTGTGTATGTGTGTGCGTGTGTGTGCACTTGTGTAGGAGCCTGTGTGAGTGTGCTGGAGAGCTGCGGAATTAAACCGTCACCTCGCGACCGTGAGGTTCGGCATCGCGCTGACTCCCCCTTCCTCTCCTGGGTCTCGGGAGAGAACCGCTCGGCTCTTTCCTTCTCCGGCCCGCTGGAATAGAAAGCTCCCGTTGCCCACTTTCAGGCTTTTACCCAAAAAGTAGGGTAGAAGGTGCCGGCCCGATTCTCTCCAGTTAGGAGCAATCTATCTGAGTAATGAGAAGATCGGGCGATATTTAATAAGGACTGGTTCTCGGGTTTTTTTTATTGTTGAAGGGGAAAAAACTGGACCGAATTGAATCGTTGAAAATGAATTGATATAAATAGGAAGAAGGGTATTGAAGAAACGTGGCGCCTCTTCCGTGGTGTTTCTCTCTGAGGAGTCTGTCGCAAACTGATTTGTTTACTCGTGCTGTATCCATCTTCCTTGCAACGTGCATCTTCATTGAACGATTTGGTTTTTCTTAAGCTTTTCTCTTCGTAGGACGTTTATAGAGAACGGGTTGTAGGTTGCGGCTGTTTTTGTACAACTGACTAAAGAGGTATCTTCTTTCAGTAAAAAAAAAAAAAAAAGTTCTTGGTCCTGTCATTTAGTTAAGTAATGGCTTCTCCTCTTGGCCCAAGATGGCCGGACAGGGAGGAGAAAGAACTTGGTGGGAGGAGGTAAACAGAAATAAATACTCAGAATGTATATGCAAATATGTGTGAAATGTTTGACTTTTTAGGAGCTGCATAGGCTGATGTGTCAAAAGAGTTTTCCTACTTGAATTTATTAAAAATAGAATATTGTGTTTACAGAGCTGTTGGTAGATCTTATTAACCTGTAGCACATCTACTTAAATTACATAGATTTTGATACAAATTAATTTATAGGACAAATCTTATTAGAAAACAAGAAATGGTTTATATTGTATTACTTGAGATTTTCTTTTCAGTGCTAGTATCTCACAGCTTTAGTTTAAGTGTAATGATTTCCTTTTTTTAAGAATGATTGTTCATTCAGTTCATTGGTCTACTGTGGGTATAATATCAGCTTCTCTGCATTTCTTCTTTTATAACCAAGTAACTTAGCATAAAAATTAATGATTTGGGGAATTTTTTGATAGAATGAAGTTCTTGTTTCTAATGACATTGTTTTTAAAAAGGCAATCTTTACAAATGTTGAAACATTTTTAGATATTTACATATGTCAAATATTTATGATGGGAGCTATCTGAATTTAAAATCTTAAAATATTTCATTTTCTGGCACAAGGTGCAACTATACAGTACATTGAAAGAGTGTTTAGGTTTGAAATGTTAAATTACAGTGTTAACGTTTGACATGATTTTAAAGAAAGGGTTCTAAGGAGTAATATGCTATTAATTTCTCTGTAACTTAGGTTATGTATTTATCTACTGGGTATAATTATAGGAAAATCATGGTTTGATTTTCTTTTGTTTCGTTGATACAAGTTTAATGCTTAGTATGTACTAAAATATGTTGTGATAGTCTATTCAATATTTTAAAATGGGTTGTATATTAAACCTATATTAAAATTTTAATTGTAGGAATATCAGAAGTCAAATTATTTTTCCTACCCTCACAGACTTGATAAAACTGAATAGCAGGGTTTCAGCCATATTTTTTCTCCACTTTTTTCTAGAAATTAAATGGGGATCTTCTGCATGCAAATTATTTGCTTTCTATAGTACTTCAGCTCCTTCTTTACATATATTTCTACTCTGAAATATATCTTGTTGAATTTGATAGGTAAGTGGATATAGCATAAATGTCAGAAATTGCACATCAGAAGAAAACATTTTAAACGGCCTTTAGTTTTGCAGAAAGCGAAGTCAAACAATTCTCATATTGGTGCCTTTGAAAGTATTAGGACAGTAACTTTCAGAATTCCCAGCTATCATTTCCAAAATATTTTGTTTCCATCGAATTTGAGATTGAAGAAGAATATTAATGTTTATTTTCTAGAATAAGTTACATCAGGCAAAGAAAATAGAGTGGTACCTTGGTATTCATCATTAATTGGTTCTGGAAGGCGATGAGTACCAAAAATGATGAGTACAAAACAGATTTTTCCCATAAAGAATAATGTAGTGAGTCATAAGGCAGCCGACAGCAACCAGTTCTAGCTTGTGCATTACCAAACAAACAATGAGTATCTGGACAAATTTTTGTGTCAAAATGTGTTGAGTACCAAATTTGATGAATTTAAAAGCAGCTGAATACCAGGGTACAACTATAGATGAATTACATAGGAGGTAAATTATAGATTTGTTGTAGATGTGAGAGTCCAGTTTGTAAGCATTTTGGGTAAGGTAGCTGAAATCAAAGAAACAATGATGGTCATAAGTACCTAATAGTTGATGATAATAAAGTCAGACTATGGATAGTTCAATAAGAGAGCCTTGAATTTAGGCCTCCTTGTTTTGTTATGCTCCAGGAGTTTTAGTCTACAATTCAGTTCGTATTGTAAGATGTATGGTGTAAGACATTAATTCATCTGTAGGTACAAGTTTTGGAAAGTTTGTTTTAAGAAATAATGAGAACATTAGAAAATTGGAGTGAGGAATTCTTCATTCTTAAATGTTAATATTGATGCTTACAATCAGCAAGAGAAACCAATCTAGTAATTCTTCAAACTATTTTACCTTTTTAAAGGCACAATTAAAGCTGCAAGTTAAGTATTTCAAAATCTGTGGGTTTCAGCCTGAGTCTAGTATTGTTCATTAATACAGGGCTTTTCAACTAGTGGTACGGGTACCACTTGTGGTACATTGGCACCTGGCAGTGGTACGTGATCATCCTAGAAAAGTGGTAGCGGGGGAGGGTAATGAGCTGAACTGGTGGCAGCACCGCACAGGCCTGAGCGAGAGATGGCTGGAGCTGCAGGGCTGAAAGGGCTCAGCGGAAGCGCCAGGATCAGTGCTGCTTTCCAGCTGATCGGCACTTCTTCGGGGCTGTCAGGGCTCAGCAGAAGCGCCAGGATCAGCACCAAGCTCCAGCTGGAGTTCGGCGCTGATCCTGGTGCTTCTGCTGAGCCCTGAAGAAGCACCAATCAGCTGGAAAGCAGCACTGATCCTGGCACTTCTGCTGAGCCCAGAAGAAGCGCCGATCAGCTGGAATGTTGCAGCATCTCCAGGATCTTGTGATTTACATTCAGATGCTTGGCAACTGATTCATATTTATGACGGTCACAATGTCCCTGGATCATGTGAAATGACCAAAACCCAGCAGATGGGGGGAATAAAAGCCACCCCCCCACCACCTAACCCCCGCTGCCAATCCTCAACAGAAATGCTCACAACAATGAAAACCTCGGACAGGAGGAGAGTGCTGCCAGGCGGGCAGGCAGGTGTCTTGCTTGGCTGTGGCTTGGGGGGCACTTTTTTCAGTGCCATTGTAACTTCAAATAGTCACTAAGCGAACTGTTGTACGTCGAGGACTACCTGTACTTTTATCACTTTTTTCTTTGTTTCTTTCTTTTTTTTTTTTTTGGTCATCAAGTTTTTGACACCTTGCTAGGCGACTGGTGGTACTCAGATATTGCCATATCCTAAAAGTGATACAATAGGTGAAAAGGTTGAAAAGCCCTGCATTAATAGTTATAATAAAGGTTGTGTGGTCTTGCGGTTTAAAATAGAGCTTTCAAATTGTAGGAAAAGTTGAAGAAACTATTATGTGCAAAGTCAGGGTTCTGAATCCAGAGATACTTCTATTTGTACAGATATGGATGATAAATGAGACACCTGTGTAAGACCGTGGAAATGTCAAGTATTTTCCTCTTGAATAGTGATTAAATCCATGATCGCCATGAAACCTCTCTCAAGCTTGTTATTTCTGTTCCTTTTGATAGATTGTTTCAGTTGTTTTATAAGAAAAATTGAGTTAAATATTCTCCAAAGTGATAGCCATGTTATGAATCAGTTCTCATCAGTAGTAACATAGTTATCACTTTAGAGAACATTAAATCCAGTTTTTATGCTGATGTCAATTTATATTATTATTTTTCATTATTGTACAATGTTGCTTTTAGATGTATTTTAGGAGATACATAGCTTAGGTTCACAGTATTGTACTGTTACAGATATGATAACCTTATCTGTCTTTTAGGTGTTTGGCATAAGTACTGCTGTTTTCATTGAAATTAGAAATAATATATGTTTATTTTGATGAGTAGAAATTGATACTCAATTTATGATGTTAGTTCCTCTGTTTTCTCATATTTGCTGCATTTAGGCTCTGTCAAAGTAAAAAGACATAGAACTTGCTAATGATTTCTATAATTTTATCAAGTAAAATGCTAGTGTGAATGTTCCTGTTCAATCTGCTCTAAAATTTACATAAACATCTGAAGCATGGAACTGAAAAGAAAATTGAAATGGTGGCAGTTTCCTGATACCCAGTTTAAAGCATTTTTTGGTGATTAAAACAAATACGATAGTAAAGTGACTTAATGATTCTTGAATAAGACCAGTGAACAGTAATTAGTAGTTATTAATTAATAATTGATTACAAGCAGGTAAATTGTAGAACAGCTTGAAGTGAACAGTATTCTCAGCCAATGATCTTGCTATATATATATATATGTATATGTATACGTATATGTATATATGCTATATACCTGTTTCTGAAAAACGCATTATATTAGGACTTTGTATGTGAAGGCTTAAGAAAATGAAAACCTTGCACAGAAACCTCCTTCCCACCCCTTTCCCCATGTTTTTCTGGCATGTCATTTCCTAATTAGAAAAAAATCAGCCTAAAAAGTATATTTGTTAACCAGGAGAGTGATATGGATATTATAGAGAAAACATGCCTCATAAATAGCTCAATACAATATAGGAACTTCTAATATAAAATCATTTACTCTGCTTATTAGTATG